TCTTAGCATTACTGACCTCGTTCTGCCTTTTCAGACTTGAGGGTGAAGAGAATAAAACTGTAAAATGCTGTGCTTATACCTGGTTTTAACACCCAACCTCTATTTGGTTCCAACCTCTATATGGTTACACCCATGTAAGGCTTTATAAATTAGGAACAAAAAAAATTATTTGCTTACAAATAAGCTATTTAAATGGGGGGGGGGGAACCCCACATTTCTGTACATAGGAATGCTTTTTGGAACACATTCCCGGTTTAAATAAGCTACCTGTGCAGATGGGTTTTACAACCCAACCCATCTGGACTAAGCCGGAAATACTTAAAGCAAGCATTTTTTTCAGTTTACAGAAATCCTCTTGACTAAGTTTTCCAAGAATCATCACAAGGGACACTGATGGAAACAAAGGGACTTAAAGATCAGCCTAAGCCCTGATGACACTGATAATGAGGACCAATTGATCATTATATACAGAAAGTTGGGCTTGATGTTATTGATTTATTTATTTGTTATTTATTTATTTATTAAAAAAGTAATCTTTACGCCCAACATGGGGCTTTGAACTCATGACCCCGACGTCAAGGGTCACGTGCCCTACCGACCGAGCCAGCCAGGCGCCACCCAGAAAGTTGGTTTTTAAACAGAGAGTAGTCTTTTTCCAGAGACACCAGCCAGCATTAAACTTTCAATCCCACGCATGCTTCACCCACTTGGGCTGGCTTTGCCCCGTACTTGTTCCGACAGACCCCTCAACTCCTCAAACCCAGTCTACAACTTTCAAGTGCAGTCACACAGCACATACCTCTGGCTGGTCTACAGAGCACTTTGGCCTAGGGGATGTTGGATACGGGAGTGAGTGGTTTTCCATTACTTACAAACCCTGTTGATATTAAACCCAAACAGAATCCAGATACACTTTCGTTTTCTCGCCCTACAGGACAGGACGGGATTAAAACTAAAATGAATTAACAGAAGACCCAACCATTTTGAACAAGTAACATAAAAGTGATTGTACAATTTGGACCCACTTAATTTTGTGTCTGACTGTTAGACAGTCATTATGATGAAAACAGGACTTTTCTCTATAGAGAAAAGTGTACATAAATATGGTCAGTACTGAGGTAAACAATAGTCAACCTAATGACAGGTAACCCAATAGACTGTTAATGTTTTAGGTCCATAAAAATATATGTTGTTAGTTTTACATTTTACACAGTAACCAGTCTTAAGCAGTGGAAGCACATTCCTGTAAAAACAACCGTACCCCCTTAGGAACTTGCTATTTAAGTGAAAACTAACACTAATTCTGAATTAGTCATTTCTTTATTCACATTTGTATAGGTTTCCACATATGAGGTTAGCTGTCAGTCTAAAACTTTACCTTCTTTAATGTGGTACTCAGAACTTAGAATTTTTTTCCTCCACAAGATTAGCTTCGACAGAAATAAAATGGTCTTTCTTTGATCTCACTAAAATATGAGAAAAATCATCTGATCTAGAATAACAATTATTTTCATGCAAAATTCATTTGCAGGCAAGTCCTTGGAAAATTAACATAAATGTCCCCTGATTCGGGCTCTTCTTCTCTCCTGGAGGCCAGGCAGATTCTACACTGGCTTGTCTGGGTCTCTTTCCCATACATAGAGAAGGCCCTACAGCTTCCTCCATGGGCGGAAAGGACTTTGGTTCAAGACTGTGATGGCCCACATTCAAGAAACTCAAGTCGTCACGGTGGCCTGAATTATACAGAATTGATACAGTTCTTTGGGGACCTTTTAAATGGTGTGTGTTCGTAGGATGAAACCAGAAGCCACCTGTTATTATTTCTTCACTTTGGAGATGAAGTAGAACAGGATTTGCCTGATCCATTTGGTCACCCAAACCTCCCTTGCATTGGACGTCTGCATGGAAGTCTGGAGAAAATACTGAGATTAGAAGGCCATGATACAAAGAATGTGGAGAGTCAAAGAAGTCCAAGTACCAGGTGGGGGAATGAAACCTGCCCCTCTATCAGAAAGTCCATCTTGATGATAAAAAGTGTTCTGGGGACGGATGGTGGTGATGGTTGCACAACAGTGTGATGTCCTTAATGCCACTGAAGTGTACATTTGAAGGTGGTTAAGGGGCACCTGGGTGGCTCAGTCAGTTAAGCGTCTTGACTTTGGCTCAGGTCATGATCTTGGGGCTCTTGAGCTCAAGTCCCGCGTTGGGCTCTGTGCTGACAGCTCGGAGCCTGGAGCCTGCGTCGGATTCTGTGTCTCCCTCTCTCTCTCTGCCCCCCCCCCCCCCACTGCTTGCGCTCTGTCTCTTAAAGATGAATAAACGTTAAAAAAAACTTTTTTTAAAGATGGTTAAAATGGTAAATTTTGCCACAGTAAGAAAGTACATCTTGCCACAATAAGAAAGTCAGTCTTATACTACTATGCATATGACCCCTCAGTATGGACACATATGGCCAAAATTTAAAAGAAACATATTCTTAAGTCAGAAAGGGACAAGGGCGTATGTTTGCATTTTTGCTATAATCTTCTCATCATTAAAACATGTGAGGTTAGAAAGACATTAAATGTTGGCATCATATAGGAAATTCACCTCCAGGTTCTTGTTGGCATTTAAAAGTGGTGCTAATTTATATGCAGTTCCCTCTAATTCATGTGTTATTCATTATACAACTGAATTAAAAATCAAACAAAACTGGAAACACCCAATACCTCCTCTCAAATTCTTGACTCAATGCCTTCTGCAAACGTGGCAATTATTTAAAGGTCTTTACTTTTTACTTTCTTTGTACTGGGATTCCCCTTTTCCACAATTTGGTCTTGCCCCATCCTGCCCTGCCCCCCAACACAAGGTTAAGGATAAACATAACTGATTAGTATGTCACAGAGCTTTGGGCTGCTAATCCCTGGGAAAAAGTTCTTCCTTTCAATCCTGGACTGGTGTGGAAATCATAACACTGACTAAGGAGATGCCAAGTGAGTGGTAAGGTACAAACACTGGGTAGGTGCCTGGACAGCTCACCTGGAACCAAAGCCTAGAACAGACATGCCATGAGTATCAGTCACAGTGACCTGCTACAGGCCGTCACTGTAGCTGCCTACGAACACAAAGGGTAGGGTCCATTTTCTCATGGTCACAGTAATGTATCATGGGAAGAACTTTCAATGGGGTCAGTTAAATGACAGGAGTTATGCAAAACCATAGACACTTCCAAGCAGGAACGTGCTAGAAAGATCAATGAAGAACTCCCGTTTAAAACAAAAAGAAGAACTCTTGTTTCGTGTGGCTATCAGGGTGACAGAAAGCCCCTTGGTCTGAGCTAATTGCTTTCCAACTCTTCTACCAGGAAACTAACTGAGAGCAGGCACAGCACAGTGTGCATTAGACGTCCGGCTTGAGTAGTACACACAAGTGATTATCCCCAGTACAAAAGATCTGGATGTTGTTTTCATCTGCCACAGCAATTAATTTTATTTCTACTAGCACAGCAGTATGAACATGGGAGAAAACATTAGCATCAAAAACATTAAGTCGCTCTTAGAAAGGATTTGTAACTTTGAAGTAGCAGACCATTAGGCAAGATTTTAAAAGCTATTTTGTATTTATTGAAGTTCAAAACAGCCTAGCAAAGTACCTTCAAAATAAAGATGACCAAAATAAACTAGAAAAATATTTCCAAAATAAAGATGACCAAAAATTCGTTAGCTCGAGCGTATTAGTTGTCAGTTGCTGCTCTAACCTAACACATTACCATAAACTTAGTGACTTAACACAAGCGTATTATCTTACAGTTGTGCAGGTTAGAGATCCGACACGGGTTCCGTCCCACTGGGCCAAAATCAAGGTGTGGGCAGGGCCACGTTCCTTTCTGGGGGCCTTGGGGAAGACTCTGTTCTCTTCCCTTTTCACCTTCAGAGACCATCCACATTCCATGGGTCATGGCTCCTTCCTCCATCTTCAGAGCCAGAAATAATGCGTCTCTCTCTCTCTCTCTGTTGTTATTTTACATTTTCCTCTGATCCTGACCCTCTCCCAATTCCTCTCCTCCCCTCTTAAGGACCCTTGGGATTACACTGGGCCCACCTGGAGAACCCAGAACAACCTCCCAGGTCAGATTAGTACCTTCATCCCACCTGCAATCTTCTTCTTCTTTGCCATCTAACCCAACGTATTCCCAGGTCCCAGGGATTTGGACACAGGCATGGGGATCGGGGGTGGCATTATTTTACCTACCACACGTTAAATACACAGGTAAATACACATTAGATACACCACAGTTAGTATTTTGTAATTGTTCAATAGTTGTCATTCAGTTACCTTAATCTACAGAATTAATCTTTTTTATCATAAAACATATTCAACTGGCCAGATGCAACAGTAACAAAAAAGTGTAAAGTGATATAAAACAAATTGTACAAGATTACAAAGTAGTGATGATTTGTGTGTGTGTGTGTGTTCATATATGTATATATAAAACTATACAATGTATATACATGTGTATGCGTGTGTGTGTGTGTGTGTGTGTGTGTGTGTGTGTACACATACCCCATTCACATAGTTTTACAGTTAATTAAGTGGTTCTAGAAAATCAATATGCCATAAAGATTCCTGGGAAAGTAATGCTTATAAAATAAGGCCATGTTTATAAAGATCTCAAATCAAAGACAAGGTTCCTAATGAGAACATCCAGGTTACAGACAAATTCGTTCCTGGTTAGTCCTTTCCCCTTCTCCTCTCGCTTTCTTTCCTGTTGTACTGCCCAGATTTCCTTTCCCGGTGCCCTTAACGGCCTGTGGCATGTGAAATGACTAGAGCCCGTGTGAACAAGGTCAAACCACCAAACACAAATAGGCCGGTTTGGAGGAAGTCGCTGGAAAACAGAAGCATGCCATTCGTGCACCTCTGTGTCCAGGGCACCTGCAGCTCCGGAGAAGAAGGTCCCGCCCCTTTCAATGGTCGCAACACCAGCTTTGGTTCTCCACCTGGACTTTGCTTGAACGTGTGACCGCTGTGAACGGCGAGGGCCGGTGCCCAGCCCACGCCAGACTTAAAAGACAGGAATGTGATAGTGGCGGTCATTCTCCGTCAGCAGGGAGATCTCGGGCCACTCCCTGAACGGCAAGTCTGGGTAGCAGACCTCAAAGTCTCTGGAGTTAAACTTGAACAGTCTGAACACTTTTATCTTTATTTCAAGGGAGTGTCCAAGAATAAACATATCGATCTGGAGAAGAGACGAGAGAGAGGTCACAAACACACATTTCCAATTTCCCGCCCCCACCAGGGGAGGGAGCGTGTTCTCCTGAAGCTTAGGAAGCAGTGCCCTTGCTTAGGAACCAGACCCACACATGAACCACCGAAAGGCCAGCGTCAGGAACAAATGCCCACGATGCGGAAGGCAGGGGACAAGCAGAGGAACATCTCTGTAGACCAGCATGAAGTTACAGGGGGTAAAAAACAAACAAACAAAAAAAAACTAATAAAAAGTAAAGGATGCTCACTCACAGTTAAAATCACACTGTTTTCCAACTAGTTTTAGATAAATTTTTGTAAAAAAATGGCAGGTAATTTTGCACACCGCCTAAGAGAGCAAAGCAAAACAAAAGAAAACCTCTTTTCTATGGGAATGAAAAAGTCTTATCTGGATTTTAAAGTTGTTAACAACTTCTTTTTTTTAACCTAAAGTTGATTTATTAGTTTTAATCATCTCTACACCCAACATGGGACTTCAACTCACGACCCGGAGATCAAGAGTCGTATGCTCTTCCGACTGAGCCAGCCGGGCGCCCCTAGGATTTTTCCAATAGTGTCTATTTATCTGCACTAAGGAACCAAACGCTTTCCCAAACATTATCTCCTTGTCCGGCTGGACTTTCTCTCGGTTAAACTCTGCTGTGGGAGAACTGCCACCATCTGAGAAGCAGAGTGAAAGCTCAGAAGGGCCTCCAGCACTGCTCAGGGGCCACGGGGCTTGACAGACACACGGCACACTGCACGGAGCAGTGAGGTTTTTACTCTTCTTTTCCTCCTTTCAGGGGCAACGACATCAAGCCACTGCTTCGCCGCAGGTGGGTTTATCAGCTGAAAGTAAACTCCACACACCTGTGTGTTTAGGCACTGCCATGGGGTCCTGAACACATTCTCCTGCCCCAATTACCTGCTCCAGTCCACATGTGTCGCCCACAGAATTCAGGTGGTTCATCATGAAGCTCAAAGGGTCAGAGGATGTTTCCCGGGAAAACAGGAGCCGAAAAAGACCGGGAATGACTTTCTGAGTCTTCATTTGCTCATAAACTTCAGTGACTTGATAGAGCATGATGAACTTTAGAGCTTCGTAAAGTTTATATTCCAGAATCGCATCAGAAAAGAGGATGTTGCACATACTTCCTCTCTTGTGATAATCTTTAATTCCACTAAATTCAGTCCACTGGAAACACAGATGTGAGAGTGAGATTTACAGGGTAGAGGTGAATACCGACAGCATGGCATAGTTTTAAAGTACGTATAAAAATAAACCAGAGATTAATAGAGGGGACCTTTAACTTTTCATTTTTGACCCTGATTTTTTACATTTTTTTTTCAACGTTTATTTATTTTTGGGACAGAGAGAGACAGAGCATGAACGGGGGAGGGGCAGAGAGAGAGGGAGACACAGAATCGGAAACAGGCTCCAGGCTCTGAGCCATCAGCCCAGAGCCTGACGCGGGGCTCGAACTCACAGACCGCGAGATCGTGACCTGGCTGAAGTCGGACGCTTAACCGACTGTGCCACCCAGGCGCCCCTGACCCTGATTTTTTAAAAAAAAATTTTAATGTTTATTTATTTCCGAGAGAGAGAGTGAGAGAGAGCGTGAGCGGGGGAAGGCCGGAGAGAGAGGGAGACACAGAATCCAAAGCAGGCTCCAGGCTCCGAGCTGTCGTAGGGCTCGAACTCACAAACCACGAGATCATGAGCTGAAGGCGGACGTTCAACCGACTGAGCCACCAGGCGCCCCTGACCCCGATTTTTTTAACCACAAGTATATATTACTTTTATAATAACAAACTAGCTTAAATATCTTTCAAAAAAGCACCACCGATTAGGTAAAAAACCAAGCAAGTCAGTTTCCTAAGACAGCTTAATACAGCTGGGTCGCACGGCAGATATTCCACAGACGAACAGTAATAACTAGTATTCTTTGCCACTCACCATGTGCCAAGCACGGTTTAAAGCCACATGTATTAACTTATTCAATCCTCACAATAACAGTACAAGGGACACAATATTCACATATCGGTTTTACTCATCAAAAAACCACAGCACAGAAATTTTACGGTATTTACTGGGGAGGGTTCATTTCAACAATTCCAAATCTGTGTCTATTAAAAGGCAGGAAAACTCTTAGTTCAAATGACAGCGTCTGTGGTGTCCCCAAGTTATTAATGGGGCACATTCCAGAAGTGCATTTCTGAATGCCCTGTCTGGACCTTGCACCACATCTCTCTGGGGAAAACGAAGGTACGGGACTGTTAAGGTTTCCTGGCCAGCCCACAAAGGCCTCCTGAACCCATAACGGGCCTAATTATCACGTACAACGCTGCTCTCGTTGGTTACTTGGGAGGAGAAAGAACAGGAAAGCCCATCGTCAGCTCCTAGAAGAGGCGCTCCTGCCCACAGGTCCTCCCCGAGAGGCATCGGGTGACAGGCCTGACAGAGAAGAGTCACTCACTGCACCCGGGTGTGTGCTTTCATTCCTCGTCTGTTCTTCCCCCAGACACTCACCTGCGTTTTCAATAATTCCACACATTTACGTAACTTTCCAAACACATTGGAACCTGTATACTTCTCAGGACCAAAACTGTATTGCTGGATCCAATTACAACCTTGTGAAAAGAGCAGTTTTTCAGGAAGCTTGAAAAGGAAGGAGATGCCAACCGTGATTAGTACCTCAACGTTTATGACATTACAACCTAGAATATGTCATGGCACACGATCTTATCTCACTCAGGAATCTCCATTTAAAAAGACTAAATAAAAACATAGAGTTTCTTCTTTTAGATCTGTGGATTAAGGGATTTGGATCATATTCTTTCCCTCTTTTTTTTTTTCTTTTTTTTTTGAGAGAGAGAGAGAGGGAGCACAAGCAGGAGAGAGGGGCAGAGAGGGAGAGAATCTTTTCCTTTTTTAATGTTTCCTTATTTATTTTTGAGAGAGTGAGAGGCAGAGACAGAGCATGAGTGGGGGAGGGGGCAGAGGGAGAGAAAGAGAGAATCTCAAGCAGGCTCCATGCTCAGCGTGGAGCCCGACTTGGGGCTTGATCCCACGAACCACGAGACCATGACCTGAGCCGAAACCAAGAGTTGGACACTTGACCCACTGGGCCACCCAGGCACCCCACAGAGAGAGACAGAATCTTAAGTGGGCTCCACACCTAGCATGGAGCCCGACGCGGGTCTCAAACTCACAACTGTGAGATCAGATGACGACCTGAGCCAACATTCAAGAGTTGGATGCTTAACCGACTGAGCCGCCCAGGTGCCCCTGGATCGTATTCTTCTTCTTTTTTTTTGTTTTAATGTTTATTTTTGAGAGAGAGAGAGAGACAAAGTACAAGGAGAGGGGGAGAGAGAGAGAGAGAAAGGGAGACACAGAATCCAAAGCAGGATCCAGGCTCCAAGCTGTCAGCACAGAGCCTGATGTGGGACTTGAACCCACAAACTGTGAAATCATCACCTGAGCTGAAGTCAGACGCTTAACCGACTGAGCCACCCAGGCGCCCCGTGGATCATATTCTTAATTTACAATTTCACAGCTGATGAAAACCTACATGAAGATTTTGTCTATGAAACCATCTTTCTGCATAAAACACTTCCCAAACTGCCTAGGTATATCCGTTTAGAAATTATGTTTACCCTAACAACGCTAGAATACCGTAGCATATCGTGGAGCATATGGATTTTAGAATAAGGCACTTGGGGGTCCAAACCTCACTCTGTCACTCACCAGCCAAGAGACTCCTCAACCAGTGCAAATTATTTACCCTCTGAGCCTCATCCTCTACCATAAATCAAGGACAAGATATCCATTTTACAGGACTCCGGCTGGGACTAAGTAAGACCACAGAATTTGTAAGACTCTGATCCAGTGAAGGGATCTAACCCATACCCCACCCGGCTGAGCCTGGGGAACCCCGGGGTGTGGCCGTATTCTCTGTCCTCAGCAGCTGGCCGCGGGGCTGGCACCCTGCACACACTTGATGAGTGCTTCCTAGATAAAATGAAACTAATAAAAGCAACTCTCAAGGAAGAAATGGGAAGGAAATAGAGCATGTGCAGCTATATATATGCATATACTTTATATACTCCTATTTCTTTGTGCTTCTGCCCTTAAATGTACATCCTAGGTTGAACTTCCTGCATTCAAAATAAAAATTCAGGTTGTTCATCAAGAATGTACTGCCTCAGGGCACCTCAGTGGCTCAGTTGGTTGAGCGTCCGACTCTCAATTTCAGTTCAGGTCACGATCCCAGGGTTGTGGGATCGAGCCCTGCATCGGGCTCCATGCTGAGTGTAGAGCCTGCTTCAGATATTCTCTTTCTCTCCCTCTCTGCCCCTTGCCCCTACTCATGCTCGCTGTCTCTCTCTCTCTCTCTCTCTCCCTAAAAAGTAAAAAACAAAAAATAAAGAATAAAAATAAATAAAATAAAATAAAATAAAGAATATATTGCCTTATACCATTAAAATGAAAAAAAAAACCAACAAGGCACAGACTGGGAGAAAATATTTGCAAATCACATATCTGATAAAGCACTTGTGTTCAGAATATATAAAGAAATCTCAAAATCCAATCAATAATAAAATAAGAAGGGGCAAAAGATTTGAACAGACACTTCTGTAAAAAGATAATAATGGATGGCCAATAAGCACATGGAAAGATGTTCATCCCTCCTCACTAGCAGAATGCCCACTAAAAGCACAGTGACGCCAGCGCACATCTATCACAATGGCTAAAAAACCCAAAAAACAAAAAACCCCAAATCTGACAATCCTGGTTAGAACTGGGAACAACTGGAACTCTTACACACTACTGGTGGAAATGCAAAATGGCCACACCACACGGGATATCAGTTTGGTAGGTTCTTATGAACTTGGACCTACACCTACCATATGAGCCAACAATCTCACTCCTAGGCATTCGCCCAAAAGGAATGAAAACTTCCATTCATACAAAATCTTGTACGGGATTGTCAAAAACTAGAGATAATCCAGATGTCCTTCAACTGAAGAACGGATAAACAAACTATGTCATACTTACATCAAGGAATATCACTCAACAGTAAAAAGGAATGAACTACAAATTCACAGAATGTGGATGAATTGAAATGCATTTTTTAAAAAAGTTTTTTAATGTTTTATTTTTGAGAGACAGAGAGAGAGTATGAGCAGGCGAAGGAACAGAGAAAGAGAGACAGACAGACAGAATCCAAAGCAGGCTCCAGGCTCAGAGCTGTTAGCACAGAGCCCGACGCGAGGCTTGAACTCGTGAACCACGAGATCATGACCTGAGCCGAAGTCGGACGCTTAACTGACTGAGCCACCCAGGCACCCCTGAATTGCAATGCATTTTGCTAAGCGAGAGAAGTCAGATGCAAAAGGCTACACACTGGATAGTTCATTGATATGACATTCTGGAAAAGGTAAAACCATAGGGTCTTAAGACCAACCAGCGATGGCCCTGGGCTAGGGGTGAGGAAGGGCTGACTACAAAGGAACAGTGGAGAATCTCTGGAGCGCTCTATGCGTTTGTTAAACCTCAAATAACCGTAGAGTAAAAAAGTGAGTTTCAGTAGACCACCTTGCTTCTGAAGAATGGATGCCCTTCTCAAGCAAAGATGGTGGCATCCAAAGCAAACACAACTGAGCATGGCGGCCTTTCTGAGACGGAGGGGGCCACAGGGCCTTCGAAGGCTCCTTCAACCTCGGGACGCACAAAGCCGCCCACTGAAGACCCAGCCATCTGCGCTACAGTTCTTGTCAACGCAACGTTCCCCGCCCCCCCCCCCCCGCCCCGTTTCCAGCGGACATACCTTCACAATGTCTTTTTCTTTCATCCACGATGGAAAGGAGAGGCCCTGGCTGAATATCTGAAACAACACTGACCTCAGTGCGTCATAGTTGTCTCTCTTTACTTGTCGGACACATTTGATGTGATGCCTCCAAAACAGCTCCTCGTAAGCCTGTCCACACAAAAACAGAAAGTTCGTTTTCAAACCCTCTGGATAAGGGAATAGAGAGAGTGAATTCACTGTATTGTCAGTGAGGCATTACCCCCAAAGAAAGGGGGCAACAGAGACAATAACAATTATAAATTATGAATGCAACCACATGTCACTATTTTATTCTGAGAGCAGGGGAGGTGAGCAGGGGAGGGACAGAGAGAGAGGGAAAGAGAGAATCCCAAGCAGGCTCCGCACTACCAGCACATAGCCCAATGCGGGGCTCGAATCAATGAACGAGGAGACCATGACCTGAGCCGAGATCAAAAGTCAGAGGCTTAACCGACTGAGCCATCCAGATACCCCATGAGGACATGTCATTTCAAAGGGACACTTGTGGGGCACCTGGCGGTTCGGTAGGTTAAGCGGCGACTTTGGCTCAGATCATGATCTCGTGGTTCGTGGGTTTAAGCCCCATGTTGGGCTCTGTGCTGACAGCCTGGAGCTTGAAGTCTCCTTCGGATTCTGTATCTTCCCCCTCTCTCTCTCTCTCTCTCTTAAAAATAAATAAACATTAAAAATTCTTTAAATAAAAATAAAAAAAATAAAAGGACATTTGTGTGTATTCAGTCCGTGTCATGCTTTTTCAACTGACACCTTCCTGGAAGCCCAGGAGCAAAAGAATGCCATTTAGGGGTGATGATGGCTATAATGTGACCAAAGGGAAAAGAAAATACTATATACGTTTAAGACCTCGCTAAAAATGACTTGAAACAAAAATTTCTTTTTTTTTAATTTTTAAAAAATGTTTATTTATTATTGAGAAACAGAGACAGAGCACAAGCAGGGGAGGGGCAGAGAGAAGGGGACACACAGAATCGGAAGCAGGCTCCAGGCTCTGAGCTGTCAACACAGAGCCCAACGCGGGGCTCAAACTCACAAACCGCGAGATCATGACCGGAGCCAAAGTTGGACGCTTAACCGACTGAGCCACCCAGGCGCCCCTTGAAATAAAAACTTCTCGTTGCTGACAAGGTTGGATAGCACCGCTGGGAAAAGTTACCAAGGTCGGTCCAATGGAAAATTCTAAAACTCCTCAGAATTTTACATCCAGGTGCCTAATCCCTGCAAAGACAGAAGTCCCCCCTGCTTGTCCAGAGAGCCCGTAGGCTTGGCGGGCAGAGCTGAAGAGTGCCACCCTCGAGTTTCCTGAAGTGACAGCCTACGGTACGCCATCGTCCACGCCCTCAGTAAAGCAGGGCGGAATGTTAGTTTCCTGATTTTTACACACAAATTCCCCATCGTCCGTGACCTGTATAAACTGACGCACCTTCCGCATCAGCTTGGCACGCGGCGTCTCTCCCTTCCATTCTCTCGCAGAGTAACTAAGGAGATCGACCTCCGCCTCCACGCTGAGGTTCCCTGGACCAAATCAGATAGGAAAGGTGGTGAATTTTCCCTTTTCCTCGCCCTTCTTGAACCCTCCCTGCACCTTAGAAATAAGAAAACATGACAATACTTACTTTTGAACTTTCTCTGCAGATATCCAATCCACCTAAAAGGTAAAGGGAAAATAATATCAAAAATCTACTCTGGAAAGCACGGGTCTATTGGTGAAACCGGAGGATAATACAACCACCTACCATTTCAGCCGGCGCCCTAAATAGGAGTGCATCCTCCTCACGTAGCAGAGGGCAGCCACCAGGAATGCTACCGCCAGCGTCACTGAGCCCCTGGCTACCTTCCACGCAGTATCCAAGGCTTGGCTGGTGACCAGCGTCCAGGAGTGAACCTGGTCACTTCCTGCAAAAATTTAATAATAGAAAAAAGACACGTCACAATTACCCAAGTCAGCTTTAAGGGAGGGAAATATATCGCTCATTGTACCCGCCAAGTGTCTGTCATTGAGTACATGAACAGTTTTTAAGGCATTCAAAAATTCAATCTGAAAGTTAAAGAAACACCCAGTTCTCCTCTAATCAATGTCATATGTAAGAATGTCTTTGTCCCACACAATTCACGAGGAATAATCATAGAGCATAGGCTTCGGAATCCCTCAGACCTGTTCAAACCCGTGTCTCGACTACCCTGGCTGTGTGACTGTGAGAAAGCTCACTGCTCTACTCCCAACTGTCTTGACTGCAACACTGGGGAAAAATGCCGATCTCCCCGGAGAAAGATGGAATGAAATTAATTAAGAATGCACCCTGTGTTGCATATCTGCTGAATCCGAGAACGGTTCCAGCAGGGATCCTGCTCCACACCAGAGTCCTCCAGTGATGCCACCACCATGTACATCTGCCCACTTGGGTTTGTTTTGTTTGTTTTTTAAGTAGAGAGAGAGCACAATTGGAGGAGGGGGCAGAGGGAGAGAGAGAAAATCTCCAGCAGGCTCCACGCTCAGCGCAGAGCCCAACGTGGGACTCAATCCCACAACCTCGGGATCATGACCTGAGCTGAAATCAGGAGTTGGACACTCAATTGACAGAGTGACCCAGGTGCCCCGCCTTTTTTTTTTTTTTTTTTTTAAATTTTAGAGCCACTTGGATATTCTTAAAGCATTAGGAGCGATGACAGATGGCATCACCTTAACACACACAATGAGTGGTCCAAACCGCGGGCACACAGACATCATTTCCAGGGAGTGGACACCTCAGCAGAGCTGTGAGGTGGAGACAGATGTGCTGTGTGTGGTCCACACTGCAATTCCTGATTTGGCCAGAGAGCATGAACGGGCCTCAAGAGCTCCAACCGCATACTTGCAATATCTTACTATGTGCAGCACATTCCCAATTATATGATGCTTGAGCATGTAAAATGCCGAAGTACAAATGAGGAAGAGAACTTTTGAATAGTGGCCAAACCTCCCGGGGTTCATTGTGAAATCTTCCCCTCCCTGGCACAAGGTTTAGTAAAATTCCAGTGATTAACGGTAGTAAAAGCCTCAGCAATTCAGAATCTACAGTTTTAGCATTTTTTTTTTTAAAGTAGGCTCCACACCCAATGTGGGGCTTGAACTCCTGGCCCTGAGATCAAGAGTCGCATGCCCCACCGACTGAGCCAGCCAGGTGCCCAAATTTTAGCATTTTTGACCATACCGATAGTTGATGTACATTTAAACTCTCACAAGAATTTACTAGCAAATAAAGAAATTAAGTTACCAGTGAATGAACCTAGACATATTTGCAATTACTTAAAAGGGCATTTTCTTCTTTTTTATGTTAGTTATTATTTTTTAATATAATTTATTGTCAAATTGGCTAACATGCAGTGTGTACAGTGTGCTCTTTTTTGGGGGTAGATTCCCATGATTCCTCATTTATCTTCAACACCCAGTGCTCATCCGAACAAGTGCCCTCCTCAATGCCCATCACCCATTTGCCCCTCTCCCCCATCCCCCCCTCCCATCAACCCTCAGTTTGTTCTCTGTATTTAAGAGTCTCTTATGGTTTGCCTCCCTCCCTCTCCGTTTGTAACCATTTTTTCCCCTTCCCCTCCCTCATGGCCTTCTGTTAAGTTTCTCAAATTCCACATATGAGTGAAAACATATGATATCTGTCCTTCTCTGACTTATTTCACTCAGCGTAATACCCTCCAGTTCCATCCACATTGCTGCAAATGGCAAGATTTCATTCTTTCTCATTGCCAAGTAGCATTCCATTGTATATATAAACCACATCTTCTTTATCCATTCATCAGTGGATGGATATTTAGGCTCTTTCCATAGTTTGGCTATTGTTGAAAGTGCTGCTGTAAACATTGAGATACATGTGCCCCTATGAATCAGCACTCTGTATCCTTTGGATAAATTCCTAGCAGTGCTATTGCTGGGTCGTAAGTTGTTCTACTTTTAATTTTTTGAGGAACCTCCACACTGTTTTCCAGAGCAGCGGCACCAGTTTGCACTCCCACCAACAGTGCAAGAGGGTTCCCATTTCTCCACATCCTTGCCAGCATCTGTTGTTTCCCGAGTTGTTCACTTTAGCCACTCTGACTAGTGTGAGGTGATATCTCAGTGTGGCTTTGATTTGTATTTCCCTGATGATGAATGACGTTGAGCATCTTTTCATGTGTCTGTTGGCCATCTATCCAAAGATGTCTTCTTTGAAAAGTGTCTATTCATGTCTTCTGCTCATTTCTTCACTAGGTTTTTCGTTTTGGGGGTGTTAAGTTTGGTAACTTCTTTATAGATTTTGGATACTAACCCTTTATCTGATATGTCATTTGCAAATATCTTTTCCATTCCATTGGTTGCCTTTTAGTTTTGTTGATTGTTTCCTTTGCAGTGCAGAAGCTTTTTATCTTGATGAGGTCTCAATAGTTCATTTTTGCTTTTAATTTCCTTGCCTTTGGAGACGTGTCAAGCAAGAAATTGCTGTGGCTGAGGTCAAAGAGGTTGTTGCCTGTTTTCTCCTCTAGGGTTTTGATGGTTTCCTGTCTCACATTTAGGTCTTTCATCCATCTTGAGTTTGTTTTTGTGTATGATGTAAGAAAGTGGTCTATTTTCATTCTTCTGCACGTTGCTGTCCAGTTCTCCCAGCACCATTTGCTAAAGAGACTGTCTTTTTTTTCCATTGGATACTCTTTCCTGCTTTGTCAAAGATTAGTTGGCCATACATTTGTGGGTCCAATTCTGGGTCCTCTATTCTATTCCACTGGTCTATGTGTCTGTTTTGTACCAATACCATATGGTCTTGATGATTACAACTTTGTGGTAGAGGCTAAAGTCTGGGATTGTGATGCCGACTGCTTTGGTTTTCTTTTTCAACGTTACTTTGCCCATTGGGGGTCTTTGTGGTTCCATACACATTTTAGGATTGTTTGTTCTAGCTCTGAGAAGAATGCTGGTACAATTTTGATTGGGATTACATTGAATGTGTAGATTGCTTTGGGTAGTATTGACGTTTTAACAATATTTATTCTTCCAATTCATGAGCACGGAATGTTTTCCCATTTCTTTGTGTCTTCAATTTCCTTCATAAGCTTTCTATAGTTTTCAGCATACAGATCTTTTACATCTTTGGTTAGGTTTATTCGTAGGTATTTTATGGTTCTTGGTGCAATTGTAAATGGGATCGATTTCTTGATTTCTCTTTCTGTCGCTTCATTATCGGTGTATAGAAATGCAACTGATTTCTGTACATTGACTTTGTATCCTGCGACTTTGTTGAATTCATGTTATCAGTTTTAGCAGATTTTAGTGGAGTCTTTTGGGTTTTCCAGGTAGAGTACCATGTCATCTGAAAAAAGTAAAAGTCTGACTACTTCTTTGACAATTTCAATGCCTTTTATTTCATTTTGTTGTTTGATTGCGGATGCTAGGACTTCCAACACTATGCTAAACAACAGCGGTGAGATGGACATCCCTGTCGTGTTCCTGATCTCAGGGGGAAAGTTCTCAGTTTAAAAGAACATTTTCAAAAACAGGTACTCATCTGTTTAGAACAATTAATTAGCTGTTCACTATACATTTACTCCTGCCTAGATATTTAGTAAAACTTTGTGTGAGTTGTTTAAAAATGTAAAGCTAATAAATAAAAAAGTCAATAAAAAATGTAAAAATATGTAAAGCTATACTGCCTTTACATCTACAATTTAGATTTTTATTAATTCAGTGATTTCTCAACTGTGAAAAATTCTGACATATGTAAGTATGTCAGACACAGCCCTGAGGTGTTTGTACAATATATGAAAATTTTAGTAAGTCCTTAAATTCAGGAAAAACTAGAACTTTGTCTATGCGATACATAATTTCTTTTAACGTATTTATAAACTTTTCCTAGAAAAATGAATATTACACGATTTTAGTTTGTTTTTTCTCTTCATACACATTAGACATCTTTTCATTTAACTACACATAGATCTACATTATTCTTTTTAAAGAATGCATAATATTTTAGTATACATATAGACCATCACATGGGGTGCCTGAGTGGCTCTGTTGGTTAAGTGTCCGACTCTTGATTTTGGCTCAGATCATGATCTCACGGTTCATGGGATCGAGCCCTGCATTGGGCTCTGTACTGATAGCATGGAGCATGCTTGGGATTCTCCCTCTCCCTCTTTCTCTCTCTACTCTTCCCCCACTCTCTCTCTCTCAAAAAAAAAAAAAAAAGATAGACAATCATATATGTAACATAATCATTGCCTTACCAATAAACCATTTGGATTATTTCCCATTTTTCACTCTTACAAACACTGCTGAGAAAGACATTATCTTCCAATAGTCCTTATGAACTCATGGTAGCTTTTAGGATAATTTCAAAAAGAGGAAACTTTGGATCAAGGGGTGTGTACATTTTTAGTTTTGACAGATAGTGCCAAAGCACCCTCCAAAACAAACCATCAACTAACACCCCCTTATGTGTATGAGCGTCCCTGTGTCCCTAAACACCAGTTCCAGTCGTGATTTCTCACAGCCGTCCACATTTCTGTAGGAACACATTCACATTTCTTCTTCAGGGAAGAGCCTTTTAGAGCATCTGCCCATTTCCCACTGGGTGGCGCTCGTGTTTGTGTGGACTCAGAGGGCCTGCGGTCACTGAGGTGGGGTCTGGCTGCCGCACCCTCCATGGGGCAACACTGCTCTCATCTGTCACAGACTCTAACCAACCCACTGTAGTCTCGGGGTTACTTCCAGGCCTTTTGGGGCCCTTGATTTGAGACCCCCTAAGCCAGGGCCTTCTCCTGAGCATGAGGCCACTCCATAGCAGCTGCCCAGGGCTTCCACGGGACCCACTACAGATTGTGGCTCTCCTCACTCCTACACACACACAACACACTTCCTTAGCCTAATGCCCTCA